TACCTAAGGAAGCAGGATAGAGGTTGGTGGACAGCAAATTACCAGAGGAGATAGCAGAGCTACAGAGGGATTCTGGTTAAATCAAGGTAATAGGATTTTGATTGAATGCTGCTGGTTGAGTATCATCGGTCATCTCATATCATCAGTGTGTGGTGAAGGATATGGAACACCTGTGATCACACCTTATCTGGGCAGATGTTGGAGGATAATGAACCTAGTTAGCTACTTATGGAAGATAGAATTGGAGGGGGGATCTTGCTAATCTGATTTAGCAGAGTTCTTGTTAAAACTGAGTTTCACAAGGAAAAGCACAGGTGAGCCACGGAGGTGGTTTAGAAGCCTGACTAAAGTTGAATCAAGCAAATAATCTTTGTTAGGAATTGGAAACAGCAGAAATGAAAGTCTCTGAATTTAGGTTGGTCTGGTGTTTTTTCATCATTAGAAACAGACTGTGTTTCTTCAGGAGGGATATTATAGAACAGATTTGAAAAAATTCAGTCACATGGTGCTTATCACCCTCACCCTCACCCTCTCCCTCTCCCGTCTCTCCCTTTCCCGTCTCTCCCTCTCCCGTCTCTCCCTCTCCATCTCCTCCATTGTCACCACCACCACCACCACCACCACCACCACCACCACCATGACATCACAACATCGCCATCATCACCACCACCATGCCACCACCACCACCATCACCATCAGCATCATCATTAGCATCAGCATCATCAACAGTAGTAGTAGTAGTAGTAGTAGTAGTAGTAGTAGTAGCAGTTGTTGTTGTAGTTGTAATAGCAGCAGCAGCAGTAGGATGTGTGCTTGGAGTTAAGCCCAAGGCCCTGTGCATGCTAAATACATGCTGAACCACTGAATGGTTCCCAGCCCTGTGTTTAATTTTGATTTGTCTGAATACCAGTGACAATTTTGATCACTTGATCAGAGTGGTGTGTCCCAGGTTTCCCTCCCTTCCTTCTTTGCCCTCTCCTCTCTGCTACCTTTCTTCCATTTTCCTAAGTGTGTTTGAATGTGTGGCCTCATACATCCTAGGCAAGTACTTTGCTTCAGAACTATACGCCTAGCCCCAGGTTTGTATGTTATAAAGGTACATTTCCTCTTTCAATTTATGATATTTTGGGGGAAGTACTTTGAAGTCTTTTAACTATCCCATTCTTTAGATTGTTACTTTGCTCATATCATTATGATCTTGTGGTTTTCTACTTTATTTGATACGTTACCATCATTTGCATCATTAGTTATTTGATGTTCAGCTCATCCCCAGTTTTGGTTAGTGGAATTCCCTTCAAGCTAGCTCATGTGCCCTTGTGACATATACATGTTCTCGGGGATTTTTTTACCTTCTAGACTGCACAAGCAGACGTTTGAGGCTCATTTTTTGCTTTTCTTGTACATCTTTACTCATTGTTTTCTTCTAGAAAATAGTATTTGGAAACCAACATCTGTATAGTAAGTGTTACAGTGTTGTTCCTTCCAGATATTTTCAATAGACTTAGATAGGGATGGTATATTTATATTTATATTATGTATGTATTTTTATAGTTATTTTTGTATGGATATAACATAAAAGTATATATAAAATATGTACACTCATTCACTAGTCTATTTCTCTCTATAATAGCATGAATTAAAAGAAGTAACTTTAGTTTTCAGCCATTACCTCATAGTTTTCTTCTCCTTTTTCGGGCTCTAGTCCTTCTTCTGGGCCCATTCTGATACAGATTCTTCAGTGACCGTCCTGATGCAGACACTTTTCTTAATCTGTTCCAGACAACTAGTAATTTAGGAAGATTTGGGAAAGAGGAATCTCATTCTCTTTCGCGCACATTATTTTTATATTTTGGTTACAATGAGAAAATAACTTATTATAGTTGTGACACAGAGTTACAGATTCTCAGAGTTCCAAGCTTTAAACTCAGTTTTATGTACTGCCATTATTTGAGTCCTTTGCAGTGAGGAGGGTAGAAGGTTTGCTATAGCTTATGACTTTGGAACCAAACAGCAGTAGGATCCTTAATTCTTAGACATTTACTTTTCCCACAAGCATATCATTTTCAACATTGTACTCAGTGAATTTAGACAGTTTTCATGTAATATATATATATATATATATATATATATATATTCTCATTCATTTTTGGTGATAGAAACTGGCAAAGTTAAGTTTTCAAACATTCGATTCTTTTGCTTTCTTGATTTTACCCTAGAATTAGTTTTCAACAGTTTGCGCATCACAGTTGTACACCTTTGAGTATAAAATACTTAGTAACATGAAAGATATTACTCGGTGGAATACTATATATTGTACCACCATGAAATATCTTATTAATGAAAAGTACTCTAAAGTAGAGATTTCCTTAATTCTTTTTAAATAGGCCCAGGTTTGTTACATTTCTTAGCTCATTTTTTTTTTTTTCTCTTCCTGACTTTACATACAGTGTTTTCAGTGTTCTCTAGCCAGTTGCTACCAAGACTACATTTTTGGTTGAATAAATTGGTTTATTACTCATTGCAGTAAAGTCATGGAAGGGAAAATGGAAATAATGGGGAAACTAGGAGCATCTCAGTAATAGAATTTATAGGGTTTCAGCTTATATTAGATAATTTTGAAGTTTAGGAAGGGAAGTTTCTAAATTAAATACTTCCAGGAAGTAAAAGGCAAAAGATTTATACCATCTGGAGAGAAACCAGAGTAATAATACTGCCAGGAAGTGAGAGTAGTTCTATGATTAGACATCACAATAGTAACTAGAAAGAGGGAAGACTTGACTGAGGCTAATGGTTTAATTTGTAAAGAAACAGAAGTCAGAGTTTAGGATGTTTGGCTGTTTTTGTTATTTGGGCAGTCTCTACTGGGACATGGTTTTAGAATGGTATTGCTTTATGTTCCTCAAAGTCACAGAATATCTTTGTCTAATGTTAATAGTTTGGGAAATTGTTTATACTCAATAAGGAATACTAAGATCTAGCTGTGAACCCTGTTCAGTTTATAACATCATTAAGTCCTATGTGATATACTAGGTCAGCTGCTGGACACTAGAGAGCTACTTAATGACAAAAATAGTAGGAAATAGAGAGCGAAGTTCTATCAGGTTAAAAGTATTTATCTGTTAAAACAGAGGAGTTGAGAGTTACTTCAGAAACCATTTCTGTAGTTTATAATAGGTGAAGACATTCTTTTGTGTTACATTTTTCTAAGCTCTAGAGATAGATAAATAAAAAATTTGAGAGTTTTGTTTTAAAAAAATTTTGTATATTGGGCCAGCAAGATAGCTTAGTGGACTAAAGTGCCTGCTTAGGCAAGCTTAGGCAAGCACAGGGACTGCGGTTCAATCCCTGGTACTGCATGTTGCACCAACCCTATCCCCAGGGTAGGCTGAGCTGGCCACAGAGTCCAGACATAGTGTAGCATGTCTATAATCCCAGCACTGGGGAGGCTGAAAATAGGAGGATCACTAAGTGTCTGAGCTGTGTAGTGAGACCCTGTAACAAGCAAATATGTTAAAAAATAAGTTCTGTATAGTAGTTAGAACATTAAAAGAATGAATTGAGAGAGGGAAGATAGGGAGAAGCAATGTAGAAGAAATATAACTTCCAGCTTGTTAGATGTCAAAGGTGTGGAGTTTGTGATCTCATGACACTGAGAGATGAAATTGTGAACCAAAGAAAGAAGTTGGGAGACTTTTATTGAAAATAAGGAGAAGATGAATAGCTCATGGATTTCCAGGAGTGGTCCCAGTGGGTGGTCACAGAGCCCCTTTGTCAGGGTAATTTATACAGCAGAGTCACTACTGGGTCAGACTAGATTACAAGTATAGTTACTTAGCTAATATTGATCCTGTAGGGAAACAAGTCACAAGTTGGGGTACATGGAAAGAACTAAGGCATTTTGGGAAGGGATGGTTCTAGATGCCCTGGTCTGCCACCTGGGTGTCTGATGCCTATCTGGATTCATTGGACCATGTGCTAATACCAGGTTTGTGTTTGTACCCTAGAGAAGCAAGTAGGCGTGGCCATTTCATCTTCATCTTAAGGCCTGGCCTTCTTCAAATGTGCCACCAGCCGCAGTTCTGATGTCTTTATTTTTTTATGTGTGTTGCCTTCCTTGAGGGCCTAGACTCTTTCTGGCTATAAATTAATTTTTGTCTAACTTAGCTTCTGTAATAAAGGGAGGTGGTGACCAATACTAACCATGGTCTGAAAGTGTCAGTTTTATCATGTGTCATAGTGGGTTTTCAGTGGAGCCAGCCCACCATCCTATGTCTTCCATTGGAGATGTTGTACAAGGAAGTGCCAGACTCCCATATCCTTGTCCCAGTGGCTTTGCTGTTGTTGTGTCCTCTATAACTATAATGAAATAAAAATAAAGATCATGTGCAATTCAGTGTAACAAATACAGCAAGTTATGTACTGTAACTATAGTGATGATATAAATGAGAAAATGTAAATTTGCTTGAATTGTTCAAGAAATGTTTCTTGGGTGTTCCTTGGTTGTTTGCCAGATAAAACTCAAGAGCGTTCAGGGCACAGCATAAATTATCCAATACCTGAATAAGGACAGTTTGCATGGTCATAAAGTTATAGCCATTTAGCTAATGTTGGGACTAGTTGCTTCTGATTTTTGCCTCTTTAAAAGAATGCTTTTGCTTGCCCATTTTTTTTTTTTTTTTTTTTTTTTTGGATACTTAGTGTTGAATAGAAAGAAGAGGATTTTGACCCTCTAATTTAGTAAACTAGAATTTACTTTTGTGTTAAATCTTTAGCTCTTGGATAAAAGAGCTGTTTAGCTTGATAACTGACCTCTTAATTGAGATTTATATATGAAAGAATTCAAGAAAAACATAAATTGTTAAGACTTTAATGTTATGCAAATAGCAATGAGTGTTTAAAAAGTACATTGTGGTATATTTTTTGTTGGCTAGTATAAAGACATCCTATTTAAGTCCTTGTGTTAAAACCAGATTTCCTTAAGGATTATTTTCCTTTTATAGGCAGTAGGCCATCTAATGCAAACTTGCCCTCAGTTCCCACAGTTGGTTCTGTTCTCCAAGACCCAGTCTCAAATATGAGGTACGTAAGCCTTGCCTTTTCATGACCCTATCCAGCTATCTTTTTCCTCCCTAATTTCTTTTTGTTTTCCCTTCCCTTTTTCCCCTATTTTTTCTTTTTTTTTTTTTTTTGGCGGAACCGGGGTTTGAACTCAGACCTTTGGCTTGCCAGGGAAGCACTTATTCAGCTGAGTCATCTCCCTGGCCCTTTTCCTACTTTTTCATAGACATGACATTTATAGGCTTGGTTTTATTTTAGAAGTTCATTTTATTTTAAATGATGTGAGATGTAAAATGTTTATAAGAAATAGCTATGAGTAATAATAAATGCTGTATGCAAAATACATTTCATTTATATAAACATATGGGTTGGTTTCTAATAATTACAAATCAAATGTTTGCAATTTATTGTTTTTCCTATTAAAATTATGAAATAAAGATAGCCACTTTTATCAAAGTCACTATAATACTGAATTATAGCTAGATTACTGTCACTGAATTTGGTTTAATTGGAAGTCTGAATTTCAAAATTTAATTTGGAATGCTGTGCAAATTTTTTTCACTATTACAGCCTCAGTGGACACAAAGCTCTGGACTTTCCTTACTATATTACAAGAATGGTACTTCACAGTAGGTCCTGGGAGCATCAGCTTGTATTATTATTCAGAAATATGACATACAGTACAGAGATATAGTATTAAGGGTAGTACCTATGAGGCATGATCACTGAAAGCAGAAACTTACGTTAGTTTTCATTGGTAGCTTAGTACCAGGGGCATAGTATAAACTGGAGTATTCCTAGTATGAACAAATAAATGCAGCGTAGTTTATATTATTTATTTTGCTTGTAAGTCCATGGCTTTGTCCTAATTTCCTAATACATGGGGGCCTTTGAAAAACTCATTGAATGTATAGATGTATGCATGTATTTACACATTCATAGAAATTATATTTAAATTGAGCTCATTATAAATGTGTCCATATATTATAGAAATAAATAAAAAAGCACATGATTGGCTTCCTTCAGTGGATATAATTTATTAAGTCTGTGTCATAGCCTGTACCTGATAACTTAGAAATGAAGACATATTCTTGAATCCAAGGTACTGATGGTTTTGTGGTAAACAGACAAATTTGATGAACTCTTGAGCTTATTGGGGTCATAGTGGAGCTGAAAAGAAAATTCTCTTAGCTGATGAGTTAAGACTTCCACTAAGAACTGATACTTAAGGGCTGGGGAGATGGGTCAGTGGAATAAGCGCTTCTCTGGCAATCGCATGTGTCTGAGTTTAATCCCCGGTCCCCCCGCCAAAAAAAAAAAAAATCATGAAAAAAAAATCCCTACAAAATGTGAAGAAAAAAAAAAAAAAATAGAACTGATACTTAGAAAGTTTGTCACCACGGTTGCCCTAGGAATCAGAATAGATCATGAAGAAAAAGGGTGTTGGAGGTGGAACGACTGACAGGCATAATAGTGATGCCTCTTCAGGTCATATTTTATTTTCATCAATTTTACATTTGTATGGACATATATTTTATTTTAAAAACTAGAAAATTGAATAATTGGGGTAACATAATATCTTATTAGTATTACAGATAGACTCGAACATGCTTTGGAAAAGGCAGCTCCTCTTCTGCGAGAGATTTTTGTGGATTTTGCACCTTTTCTTTCTCGGACACTTCTGGGTAGCCATGGACAAGAACTGCTTATTGAAGGAACAAGTGGGTGATTTTTCTTTATTTACATTTACTTACATTTCAAGATTAAAAACTTAAAAGAGTAATAAATACATGGTGGTGTTTCTTTATGTAAGCTTTTGATAAAGCTTCTTGTGAGAGAAGATATACTCTGACTTTCTCCAGTCAGCATATACTAGTTCAACAGAGGACAGTTTTTCAAGGAGTTAGTTTTATTTAAGAACGTAGACTGACTTCAAGGGACCAATCTTCACATCTAAACTACAACGTTTAAGATGCTGCTGGACTTTCAGGAATTAACTTTTTTTATTTTTTTTCATTTTGGGGATGGGCCTACAGGGTGTTCAGGGTCTCACTACTAGATCAGACTAGTGATCCACCTGTTTACAGCCTCCCAAGAGCCGGATTATAGGTGTGTGCCACCACACCCAGTCTCAATTGCCATCTCTGTGTGCCCCAGGAATTAATTTTTTATTTTAAAAGTTCTTTGGCCAGATTGATAGCTAAGTCTCCTTATCTTCATTCATGGTTGATTTAGGATAAGAAGGTTGTGTTCAACTCAAGGTCAAACATCCTGATTAAACATTCCCATGTATATTCCAGTGTTTGGAAATATCGGTTTACAGCTTTAGTTGTCATACTTTTGTGTGTTGGTAGATAAGTGATTCCCTAAGTCTCTGCCTAAATAAAAAAATCCCCTCTTTTTGAAGGTATAAAGTAGGTTAATAGTTTAAGATACCTATACTGGAGTGTTATGGAAATGCAAGGTTTTTAAGATGTTTGTAGTGCAGTGTCAACCATGGTGTATCAACCCTTCATTTCACTCTTAAAATAATTGTATTTAATTATTAAGCTTTAGTTACGAATTTCATCTCTGCTATAATTGTGTATGAGTGGTCTCATTTCCACTGAGTGATAAAGTAACAATGAATTTATTTGAAAAAGAAAATTTTGGTTTTATAAACACTCAGTTACATTTGGGGTGGCAATTTACTTTGAAATTATTTAACTATGGACTATTTGATGACATAATGAAGGACTTTTATTAACTAATAAAATTCAAAAATAATTGAATTGAAAAATTCTAGAGTGTATGTTTACAGGGTTTTCTTCTAATTTTTATTTCACATATCAAACATTTATTTTTTACAATTGATATTTGACAATTACATATTTGTGTTTATAATACTGGTGTCTTTCAGGCAGAAAGTTTAGTATTACAGATCTAATATCAAGTCTCTGAACTCCTTTGTCATTTGAACATACTACACTACCTACTTCCAACAAATTTGTTCCTACCCTCTGCAAAACAATACATTATTTTTTCCAACGAAACTGTGGAGTATTATTTGACATTTTAATGACAAAGATATTATGAGCATTCAAGTCACTAGTCTTATGTAAATAAATACATGATAGACATGAATGGCCCAGATCAGGACCCAGATATAGAAATTTTGATTCCTCTTGCATGACACAGTAAGGATTGTTGATTTGATTGTAGAAAATTCTGAATGTACCCATTGAAAGATGATTTTGAAGTTGTAGTAACTCTCAGCTTTTTGTCTCTGGGTTACTTTATTTTTTTTTTAGGCAAGGGTCTACAGGGTGTTCAGAGTCTCATTACTAGATTGGACTCATAGTGATTTGCCTGTTTACAGCCTCCCAAGAGCTGGGATTACAGACTTGGGCGACTACACCCAGTCTTGGGGACTCTCGGGGGCCACCCCTGGCCCCTGTACCTGCTTGCAGGTGCTTTAATCTGCTGAGCTATTTGGCTGGCACTTCTGGGTTACAATTTAAGGAAAGTGGTAGGGTTTCAGACCAGCAAAGGGCTAAGTCGTGATGATAGATGAGCTATGTTCTACCATGTCCCTCAGCAGTGGCAGAATTGGTCTGATGACCTATATTCATCTTAGCCCTATAGAATCTACATTTTGGCTGGCTTAAAAACCTGCTTGCCTAATGAAAGGTGTACATGTTCTTTAACTAATATTTAGGCTAATTCTAACAGTGTTACCGTCATTTCTAACACTTGAGAAAAATAGCTCTATCTTAAGAAATGGTGGAGAGAACAGCCTGTTTGATTTGAATGCAATTTGTAAAGCTTCAAAAATGCCAAGATATACCATCATGAGTTTAAGGCATTATTCAAAAAGGAAAGAAATAAATAGCATGAAAGTACAAGAGAAAATAGGTAGGTTATATGAAGGAACTTTAGTGGGGAAAAATAAAGAAGAGCCATTAGGAATTATTTTAGATATTACATACACCTTGGAACCTAGGCTTGTACTTGCCCCCCAGAATATAGAATTAAAAATTATAATTTTGTTTTTGGTAAATATGATTTAGTAATTTTAGGCCTGTTAATTTTTGATATTTCCTTAAGATTCTAGTTTTATGATGTTCTAGTGAAGTACTTCAGATTTTATGAATAATTAGAACTAAAGAATTCTTTAGATAGATATTAGCTATATAAAAGTTCCTTCCTGAGAATAGTTTTCGGAAACCAAAATAAAACACAAAAGAGAAAATATAAATGAATTAATTTATAAAAAGTCAAGAATATGTAACACACAATGGCTTGCATTTCTGTTAAGGTTTAGTGTGAGGTCAGAGGTCAAGGTACTAATAAGAGTGTTTGGGATGTCTGCTGCCAAGAAACAAAATGGAAACTTGATTGATAGCTAGAGGGTTGAAGGGAGAGAGTGTGGTGGAGAAAGCAAAGGTCAGGGAGCCATTTCCCTTCTCTGCATGTATAACGATCAACTCTCTCCAAAACAAAATGTAGATGATATTGATCAACATGGCATATGCTGTGCACATTTATATGAGTATGGTGAAATGTTAGTATATTGCAATAAATGCTTTAACATTTTGAAAGTTGAGATAGTTGACAAAAATGTTGGTAGTTTTGATGTTAGTTTTAAAGTAACTATGGAGTACCTTGTTAAATAACATAGTTGAATGTGTTACAGGCATGGATCTTAGAAGGATAATAATGTTGTATTTAAAAACAAGATGAGATAAAATTATGTAAAGAATTTATCTTGTTTTTTACTTTATAATTTTATTGTCTTTAGGTCTGGTTTGCATGAAGTCTAGTAGTTCAGTTGTGGAGTTGGTTATGCTACTGTGTTCTCAGGTGAGTACAAGAGTTGAATTAAAATAAATTCTCATGTGATTTTCTTTTTTAACAAGGAAATTCTATTTTTGCAATACATTTTGAGTTTTCTGCTTTATGTAATTTTATTTTTATCTTAAAAGAATTTTTTTTTGTCCTTGATATTAGCACATGGTTTTAAAGCAAGTACTGAAAGGACAGGTATGTAACTGAGAAGCAAAGGTTTTTATAGTCACATGAAAAATATCTAGATCAAAAGATCTTAAGATGACTAAGTTTCTTTGCTGTGTACATTAAGGTTATAGAAACAGATTTATTTCCATACTTTGTGGAGTGCCACTCTGATTCCACTGGGAATCATGAGTTTACTTCCCGTTTGTGCAGAGGTTATAAAATGAGTGATAAATAATTTTGAATCCTTGTCACTGCTAATTATTTTTGACATACACAGCAGACTTGGGAAAACATCAACAAAAATGTGGCAGCCATCATAATAAGATGTAAAAAGTAATTCCTAAGAGCAAAATTATTTTGCATGTTCAGAACATTGTACTTAAAGTGGTAAGCTTTAGTGGCTTTTAAAATATACTTAAAAATCATGCATCTTATGATCATTTGTTCTTGTTTTGCAGTTAATCAGATGAATGTTTTTATTGAGAGTTTTCTTTGTAGTATTTTAAAGGTGATATCTTGCTGGCAGTAAATTCCCCTACTTAAAACTTTAAAATAGTCCTTTTTAATAGGAAGGGTATTGGTCTAGAGGTCAAGGGTTTTGACCCATTTCAACACCTTTGACCTTCATTTACAACCCTCATGGTTTACTTGCCTAACGAATAAGGATACTGCAAAATTAATGTTTCTTTGCATCGATTTATTTGTTTTAATGCCTATATTACTAAATTTACTTAGACTGTGCTGATGGATATTTCATGAATACTAATTAAAGAATCATAGAAGGTGTGAAAAATCAATACTATGCGTTATCAGTAAAGTGCAGTAAGAACAATTACTTCTAGAGATTATATCTAATGGATTTTTTTATGATTAACTTGTAAGGAGTAATTATTTTTCTTAGTGAGTTTATTATTTTTAGAGTTTATGAGGATTATGCATTTGTACTTTAATAATCTTTAGAAAATTTTTTAAAGCTGATCAAATAAGATTTCTTATAAATCTGTGTGATTTGAAACAATTGATATTCTGCTTTTTTATTGAAAATTAGCATGAACTATTCTTCATGAAATTATCCTTTTAAGAAGTGTTCACTTAGGGTTTCTTTATAAGAATATGTTTGTTTTTTATATGATGGAACACTAGATAGGTGAGTTTTGATCATGAAATCTACTCTCTAGTTTAGACTTGAATGTATTTTCTGGTATCTGTAAGCTATTTCAGATGTTGTATATTACGTATTTGAATGTTAGAAGCTACAGAGATAGAGCATGACATATTTGTGCACACCTATTTGTTATGTGTGTCACAGTGCTGCTTAATACTTAGTCAAGTGAGATATAAAGATCACTTGATACAATAACTTTCAGAAGTCAGAAATTCTCAATGTTTTTGTTTGAGTAACATACATTAGTATTTGAAATCCTTAGCATTTTTGATGGGTTCTTCAAAAGTTGTATGGCATCTATACAAGATGTAACACATTGTGAAAAATGATGTGAAAAATGAAGCCAGAATTAGCTCCAGATGTATACAGATTGTTCCAGGGTGATAATTACATTTTTCACTTTGAATTTTCCTAATTCAAAGAGGTCAACTTGGTAATCACAAAAGTGATTTATTTTGTTAAGAAGTGAACTGTCTTTTTCTACATGAGTGCTTAAAAGATATGAAATTGAATTTCAAGTCGACATTTTGCAGATACTGGGTGGGGATGTCTTGAGTTTGATTGATAATTTTTTTTTGTCTGAGATAGGGTGGGAAGTAAAAAGCTACCATCTTGCTAAAATTTTAATTAATTTTTTAAGAGGAGATGGAGAGGATTGAGTGCCAAAGATCAAAAGATCAGGTCAAATACTCCTTTTTAATCACATAAATAATGGGATATGCTTACGAACTTAGCATCTGCAAATTTGATTTAGAACTTTACAAATTAGTTGGTGTTAATTTCATGACAATCATGTATGTTCTGATTATTTTTCTTGAATTCATTCTAAGCTTATTTCCTTTTTTGTAATTTTCAGAGTATGGTGTTTAACCACCTTTTATTGCAAAAGAGAATTAGAGTCTAACTTTAAGAACTGAAATAATCACATGTGGCTTGCTTCCAGTAAGAAAGAGAGTTTTTCCTTAAAGGTTCATCTAAAATTATATTTTCCAGTTTTCACTCACTCAAAAGTTGATTTGGCACTATTTTATATTTTGTATCATTTGAATTTTAACAGCATTTAGGCAAAATGTTACTATTAACAGTTGAAAGCTCTTTAGCATTAAAGACACACATATATAACATATCCATATATTAATAATTATTACAGAAGTAATTTTGTTGTGTGCTGTAGACTGAATCCAGAGTCTTAAACATACTAGACAAGTGTTTTATCTTTGAGTCACATGCACAGCATGAATATATACATACACATGCCATTTTATATTATGTAATATATAAACCATAATTATATATACTATATGTATATGTATGTGTGTATGTCTACATATGGTTTATAGAATTGTTTATATCAAATGATTCAGGGACTAAGTAAGCTAGAGGCTCATTTAAGTTCCTTCATTTCTTAAAGTAAAAATGCATGTATTCTTCAGGAAAGTGTACGTTCTCTGATATATGCAGAATATTTGAAAAAATAATGTATTTCAAATTTAGTATATCACAAGCATGTAACCCATTTTTGCCCCATATTAGTTATACATGCATATAAACCTGGTAGAAATCTATATGGATTTAAAGTAAATGGTAAGCAAATGTTTGAAGTAATGTTACTACATTGTTCTGTACAGTGTTTGTATCTTGCTCATTTGACATTAATATCATTTTTGAAAAAATTGACATTGCATTCAAGGCCACTTTATAAAAGCTTTACGTTGCTCATCCTAATTCAGTCTGACATACATTCCAATAACACTACCTCCCTTCTTGGGTTTAAAGCTAAATTTATGACTCTGCATTGTGAAGTGCATCATTTAAAAATGGTTTCAACCCAAAACATCTAATAAATAAATAATGTGTATGGCTACTCAGTAGTAGACTTTCTAGACTAGAAATCATTCCATCGGATACTCAACAGTCCACTATCGGAGAGGGCTGTCAGATAAATCTTGTGGTAGCTGCATTCGTGTCTTGTAAATCACACATTATTGTCTGAGCCTTCTGCCAGGTCATCTATTCTTTTCCCATTTATCAGAAATGCATACAGTATATAGAAAAACTAGAAGCACCATATAGTCTGATCCCACATCCTGAGTAATTAACTTGTAAAAGAAAATTTAAAATATTGTCTTAATCTGATTTTTAATTAAGAATTTTTAACAATTAATACAGGTAGTTATTATCTGGTGAAATAGTTTCTTCACATAAAGGTAATAAATAAGATTTGGTTCTTTTTGATCTAGGTGTTTATGCCTCTAAACTATTAATTTAAAACTTATAATATTCATAATAAGAATAAAATAGTGTCATTCTTAATATTCTTTTATGTCAGTTTTTGTGTTAGTATTTTCTGAATTTTTTTCCCCTTGAATCTCAATAGTAAAATGCATCTTTTTTTTTTGACATCAGTTATTTTTATTTTAAAGAAAAAAAATAAAAACAATGGTACAAAATCTTAAAACAAGACTTTAGGAGAGTAACAATGGTTAGTACATTGTGTATTGTTACTGCCAAAGTAGTTTCTCGTATTACAAGATATAGGCAAGAAATAATAAATGAACAACATAGGTACAAATCTCT